GCCCTTCTCCAGCAAGGGTGTGTAAGTGCAAAGGGACCGGACTTAGACCGCCCGGGCTAGGAGACGAGACAGACAGGACAAGGCTGAGGGGCTCCAGTGCAAACAGAGTGGTTACTGTTTCTGAAGCACTATTTGCCCGGATTAATGCAATTTGTGAAGCAGCAATCCCTGCGGCGGCCTTGTCCCCGTAAACGTTTGCTCTTCGGATTAAGCCTCCTTTCATTTTATGTTCCATTTCTTTCCCTGAGTTCCCCAACCCCTCTTTGAGGCCTGCAGGCCACAGGCAGACACAGGGACTCTGCTGCTCCCTCCTCCCTGCGGCAGAAAAGTGATGATTGCATTCCCACCCTGACTTGTGGGACGAGAGGAGAAATGGGTCTCTTCTCCCAGAGCCGGGCAGTGCAATTTCATGCCACTCCCAGGATGAATTTGCAATTCAGACTCTCTGCCTCTCATGCCCCTCATTTTTTTTTTTTTTTTTTGATAAACTTCTGGCTGTTTTTAATGAAATCTGAGTGGCTGTTTAAGGTTTCTAGAAGACTGCTCCAGGACTGGGAACTCCAGGATCTGTGACTTAAGTCAGATCTGCCTTATGGATTACCCCAAGTCTGCTATAAAGGTGGGGTGACTAGAAACTCCAGCTCTGCAGCAGATGCCCATAACATCCCTGTAATTTGGGTGCTTTCAGGGCTTGCAGACTCTTGCTGTGGAGCCTATAAGTCCTGGCTACCAAACTCCAAGACCCCTCGTATCAGAGGCTTGATTTTGTTTTCAGATTGCCATAGCAAAATGTGTCAGTTGTCTTATAAGTGTGTGTGTGGTTTTATTTTAGAAAAAAGGGAAAAAATATTTCTGGACCTTTTAAAAAATGTTTTTCATCTCAAAATAGAATACTTTTTAGAATGCTGCAATTTCAGCCGGTTCTAACTTATAGGTGTTTAAAAAGGAAGAAGTGCTTTATTGAAGATAAAAAGTTTAGAGACCTCTCGTATCTATTTTGTGACAGTTTGCAATTTGGAAGCTATTTAAATAAGCAGATTTCAATTTGTGTACAGTTTTTAAATTAGAGATTGTCTTTCAACTCTTCATTGAAATGGCTACATTTTTGTTGGTCTTTATCACTTCAGTTACATTATCTTCATTTTCAATTTAAAAAAAAATCAATTGTATCATTAGTATTCATGTATATAAAGGTACAGAATTTTTAAAACCATTTAACATTTACAATTGCATGGCATTTCAGCATAACTATTTTTTCATTCAAAAAATGCTTCTACATTTATTGCAGTGGGTACACCTTATTACATGTCTCCTGAGAGAATACATGAAAATGGATACAACTTCAAATCTGACATCTGGTCTCTAGGCTGTCTGCTGTATGAGGTAACATAGACAAATCCAGTAAGCTTAACATGTTCATGTGCTTTTAGTTTATAAAATGTATCAGGTATTTTTCTATAATCTGTATATTTTGCTTTTTATTGAGAAGTTGGTTTTAAGTCATACATAAGTATAGATAACCTTATTTTTATATTCAACAATGTGAGCTCTTGCAATAATTTTGAAATACAAGATGAAATACAAGATTATAAATGACCTGCTCAAGACTTGCATTTAGTGAACTTTCTGAAGAGGTTGACAGTAATTTGTTGAATATCAGGTCTTCAGGCTTAATTCTATAAGGATCATAGATTTGAATGGGTAATGAAAAGCTAATTTCCGCGACACATTTTAACTGGTTTTAGTTAAACTCAGTCTGAAAACAATGTATATATTAAATGCATATGTAATATATCTGATAGTTGTGTGTGTAGCTAATTAATGTTAATGCTATTTTTGTACATTTCATTCATTTGAAATGTTCTGAAATCTAGCTTCAGTGATAAAAAATCAAACTACAATACATAAAAGTTTCACCGGTTTAATTTTATAGCTTAGTTTTACTGCACAGGTTAAAATTACTATCTTGTTTTCAGTTTTCCTTGCTTACAACTGGTGCAATTAGTCAATTTTTTAATTCTACAGTGGAGATGCAAGTTAGGAAACATACATGTTTTTAATGAGATGACAAAGTAAAAACGTAGAACATGCTTCAATTTAAGCTAATGAGAGAGGCTTGCAAGATTGGCTTCCAAGGCAACTACATACTCAGTCTTTGCAGCATATTTTTTGTAGATCTGCAAATAAAAACTTTTAATAAGAAAAAAAAATGTCCTACTATATCACTGAAAGCAAGTACATCTCTTTGCCTTGTGCCTCAAAAGAAGCCTCCCCATGTTTAGAATCAAAACTTATCCCCAGGCTGGTGTTCAGTTTGGTTGGTCAAAATTTTAACAGTAAAAGAATTTCAACTGAGTCCTTTCAGGAAGCAGAGTTGCTTCTTAGGCTTTCTCCTACATCAGGGTGCCCAGCCTACATCAAAATCCACTCTGTAGATTCAGGTTGAGGTAATACACTACCTGCCTCAGTGATTCAGCAGCCTCACTTAAAGTTTTCCAGAAGGACCAACACCTGTAAGGTAGGATATTGCAGGAAATACTTTCAGTCTGTTATAGCTATATGCAGTATATGTCTAAAAGGGAACTTACTTCACTCTTTTTGTATTAAATATCTTTTATGTTTTTGGTTGATTAATTCATTGCCATTATTATGAAGAACTCAGTGCAAATAAGCTGTATTCTTGCCCCATAGATTTCAAGTCGGCACACAATGTTATTGTTCTGTCACTGGGACTGTTCACAGGAGTAAATATATCACATGTGATAGCATTTGAAACATGCATCTGAAACAGGATGCCCTATCACTGTTCACTGTATATATTCAGTACAGAGATGAAAGTGTTTGCACAAATACAAGTGTAAACAACAGGAAATCCCATTGCAGGATGAGGGCCTTGAGAATATAATGATGTCATTAGCTTTCCTGGTAACTTTTGGAAACTTTTAAAAAAACTTATAGATAAACAATAAAAATATTGAATAAATGATTGCCATTAATTGGGCTTTAAAATTAATTTATAATCCAGAACAAAAAGTTACCACTTTGGAATCAATATGATTTATTGCTCACAAAAATTATTGTCCCTAAATAGGCTTGTTGGTACTGTATGCACTGTATATAATACGGTATATGCATTTGGGGTTTTTATATTTTTAGGGTGGCTACTTCGAAGTTATTATTGTGAATCCTGTTTGAAGATTATTGTCATAAAATAGATACCAGGCTGTGTTCTTGCTGAAAGAGAAGCTGTATCTTCATCTCTAATAAGCTAGGAAATGCCTCCTTTTGAATCTTTTTATTCCAGTGATTATTAGAGTTTCCATATGGCACTAGATTATTTTCAGTAGCTTAAAAAGTTTAAATACTGAATTAGTATTTAAATAAGACATGGAGAGAATGGAAAAATTGTTAGATTTCTTATACTGCTATTATAAAATACATATTTAAATGCATCTAAAAATCTTCAAAATGTAGCTTAGTTTTGTATCGTGTTATGCTGCTTTTTTGCAGTTATATTATGTTTTTGATATATTAAGCATGCTAAACTGGTTATAATGTGTTAATTATAATTTTGTTCCTTATTTGGTAGCGGGGGGGGGGCTGGAGAGTCTCTCAAGTTATGGGCTAATAATTAGCATTTTCATGTTTTTAATATAATTGCAATTTTACATTTCCCTCTAAGCAGAATTCCCCAAATTAACACCTTTCAGTCTGTTCTATACTGTAAAAAAAATATGAGGACCAAAGGAGTTGATAATAGCTGGTACCTATCTCTTCAGCTCTTCAAGTTTACTTTTATTATTAGAGCTGCTTAACCATTGTTTAAGCTTGTTGCATGCTGAAATTGAAACTTCCTTTAAAATAAAATTGGTTTTAAAGTTAGCTCTATCTCACTCCCTCTGCCTCTTTGTGCAACATGTTTTGCTTATCATTTGCATTTTAAAGCGCTTATTCTATTAATTTTATGTTTAATTCTCAGCCTTTTGGCTAAAATCTATTGGGATACATTTTTGGATCCTTTTCAGTTGGGGGTAGGGGGAAGATAGCATATTCATGACCTCTCAAGAAAAATGTAATTGACATTAAATTTTATGCATTAATATAACTTCATTTTTTAATATTTTAACTATTAACTAAAGCTAATATATACTTATATTATTATTCTGTAATCTGTTTACATTTTACTAAATATAAAAATTGCATGGCTACTAAGATTTTTTTTAGGTATGTTGTGGACTTTCATGTATTCCTGAAACTGAAAAATACTGCCACTGGAATTTTAATTGATATGCAACAAAGTAGACTTTACTAATTAAAATCAAGATGCTGTGCTTTTGCTACATGGACCTTTACATGGAAAAGTAGGTTTTACACATTCCCTTTTATTGTTCAGCGTAGCAATTGCATCCTTACAGGGTTGTAGGTTGGTGGCTTACAGTTCAAAAAAAAAAAGAGAGAGAGAGAGCTGCCACCAGCCCCGAAGACAGACAGTGGGCTTTCGTCCCTCAGACACCCCCAGAATACTAATCAGGAAAGTCAGACCCTGGAGGTCAGGGAGCAAGTCAATCATTCTAGCGATCGTCTCAGTGTGGAGGATCAAATTAGCCTGAAAAATTCAGCTGCTGGGAGGAGAGGGCGAGCAGCTGTCAGGGGCAGCAGCGAGATGCACTAATGAACCAGATGAATAGTGCAAAAGCTTGAAAATAAAAACAGGACAGTTGACATTTTTCATCTGTCAAAGCAGGAGATGCATGAAAATATAGTATTCCTGTTTTAACTCCTTAGGGGACATTCAGAATTTTTTTTAACACTCTGCAGCATTCAAACAAAAGTACTTTTTAATGAATACCTAGTATAAGAAAATGAGTTCTGTTGCATTTATTTAGACTTTCCACTGGCATGTAGATTTTGTAGTTGATTTTTATTCTTTATTCTGCATTTTAACATTTTATTTTTAAAATAAAATAGGAAATTACTGTCATGTGAATATAGACATTACCATTATCAATGTAATATAGCTCTAGAATGATTTTCGGGAGTGCACTATTATATGTGTAGTGGGATCTTTAACATATGTTATTTTTATTTCAAGTTAGTATTAAAATAATATACCAAACTATTTGAAGGATTTTTATATCCATTTTAAAGCAGATGTTGATCAAATACATTTTTGATTATTTTTCTTTCATATGTTTCCATCATAATATCAATAGTGCTTAAACCATGAAAGAGTTAAAGTTATATCTGGAAGACTATAAGACAGATGAGAGCCATTTTCAGCTTGTCCTGTCCCTGCTGAAGCTCACTGAGTAGCACAGCATGGACTAGCGTGTTTCACACATACTCTGCCTGTCTGGGGAATGTACACATTGTCCTTCCAAAATCAAACTTATTAGCACATGTAGAAAAGGGTGACTGACTTTGGGGCAGCATTGCACTCAGAGCAGTATTCATACTGTTGTGGTTCAAAGATTAAGAAGGTTTCAGACTGAATGCAAAGATTTTAAATGAATTTTTAAAATGTATAATCCCACTAGCCACAATAATTTGTTTGCACTTTAAATATTTTGTTTCACCGTAGCTTTAAATGCGGGGGTTCACTAATGTCATTTTTCAGTTGCCCATTTCTTTAACAGTCTTTCTCAGACAGAGATACTTGTAGTTTTACATGGAAATTGTACTGATGCCCACAGACCTGAGATTTGTTTTTTTTAAAGGAATTGTGAGCTACTACTATTAGAGACTGTACTTTTAATATAGTTTGGACAGATTTTTGGAGTAGATCATGGAATTCCATATGGAACTGAGACTACATTTTTTCTAAACTAACTGAAATAATATGATAGTATTCTCTTTGGTTTTCTTAACCGTTACTTTTCAAACCATAATTCAGTATTTAAATGTAAGTATAAAAGCTAATGCTGCATCCGAACATCTTAAATACAGATAATTGCATTAGATCAAATTTATATTCAAATAAATAAGATGTGCAGTTGTTTTCAACAGGTCTTTTAGGGGAAAATGTTTTATTTAATCTATTTTGCTGTGGGACAAGAATGCTTAACATAAACAGCAAAAGCTTTTGCGTGTTAGTCTAGTGGACTAATAATCTAGTAAGAAAAAACAAGTAAAACTATATATACCAATTATTATAGTATTGGTACTGTGATCGGGACCAGAACATTTAAATAACTGAACTGAACTGATTTATGTGAAGTTTTACACTACAAATATAGGTTATTGTAGCTATAAAAATGCTTCAAATGTAATGCTAAAATAGATTTTTCTAAAGAAATGTTTTAAAAAAAACATGAATGGACATCTTAATATTTTTTAAACAGATGGCTGCCCTGCAGAGTCCCTTTTATGGTGACAAAATGAACTTGTACTCCTTGTGCAAGAAAATAGAACAGTGTGACTATCCACCTCTCCCTTCAGATCACTATTCAGAGGAAGTAAGTAATTTTCCTTTCTGTGAACAAATCCGTATTTTATACAGTCATTCTATAGGTTCAGTAAGTTGGTAGATCTGTACTGAGTTATGTCATCTGAGGAGCTGGTCCTGTGAATTTTGTTCAACTTGCCTAAATGTTAATCTAGAATGCCATTTCTGGTCATTTTTAAATCATTGGATTTAATGGCTGGAACATCCAGTATTTTCTAATTTGTTTGAATTGTTAAGCAAGGGACCATAGTTCTCTATTGCATGGTGAACAAGTGTGTGTGTGTGTGTGTGTGTGTGTGTGTGTTATAATGGGGGGGTGTATGTGTATACACATGAACCCCACTACAACACGCGGTAGATTTTTTTTATTTATTTATATATATATGTGTGTTCACCATATATATATTTTAAAAGCTTTCTAACAAGTATGATAAAATAGAGGTGCTTTTCCAAACAGCACAATGAGTTCTGCTGCATGTTGTAGTGGTATTGAACTGTGTATCTATATTATGTATATTTCTAAAAGCTCAACTATATGAGGTGTTATGCATTACAATAAATTGATGCAGTAGCCCTTCTTCCATAGTCATCTATATGAGATTAAAATCCAGGACTCTAGCTCTCAGAGTTGTTTTGACTTCGCTTGTATCTACATTATAAAAATATCAGTTTGTCACATTTGACACATTCCAAATATTAATGGCCCATAGCTGTAGTCACAGAAGACTTGCAGATTAGGATTATAGGGCAATACTCAGAGCTAATTTGAGATGCATATGCCCCCAAAGTATCTGCTTGATTCCATGCTAATAGTTTTTTACTGTCATTAATGCATCGATGTTTTGGTGGGTGGGGAGGATGGGGAGGCGGAGGGCGTGGGGGTGGGAATAAATTAGATGGGGGGGAAAAAAGAGAGTAAAATAGCTGCAAACATTTTTTCCAGGACCAACATAACAGGATGAGAAAAATATAAATGCTTGCTTGTTAATGTACTGAAGTGCTAGTTTTGAAATACTTTCCCACTTTGAAAGGAAGGGGGCAAAGTGATACAAGCGGCAAACCCAGGGAGACAGATTAGCAACCAATTCTAATTTAATTCAGTTC